ATCCCGTTTGGCAAACCTAGGGCCAGGGGTGAGTATAATACTCCCTGACCACTGCGATGCTGAGCTCAGAACTTAGGTTCCCACAGTGCTCCGTGAAACTCTTTCAGAGCCTCCCTTCACTCCAAACTCTGATGGGAAGCCAGGAGAACAGCACCTGGATTTCCTGGCTGGTCCAGACATTTCTACAGGGCCCCAGGGTGAACTGCTGTCGAAGTGCCCAAGTCACAAGGGAACCAGAGAGGCCTGGAGACCGAGGATTTCACCGGGCTTGTGAGAGTGAGAGCAGGAGAAGAGTCTGTTCTCGGGTTGTATATGGTCTGCACCCTGGATGGCATGTTCGAGAACAGACACATGCAGGTAGCACCCCCTGTTGGTATACTGTGTAGTTTGGTACATCCAACTGTCACTTGAGGTCCATGAAAAGGCTAACGGGTCAGAAATGGGGGAAGCCAAGGCAGAGCAGCTCCACTGGCCTTTCCGAGACAGTGTTGTTCTTTATTGCATTTCCCACAGACGATGGTGACAGGGAAAAGCAATGAAGTGAAAGCGATGGTGCGAAAGTACCACCAGGAGCACATCAGGCCGTCCGTGGCGCTCTCATTTCTGGGACAGGAAAGAACAGATGCATTACGACGCTGGGTCTCAGTGGCTGAACTGAGAAGGTTGGCATTTGCCTTGGACGCAACTGTCTCTATTGGGGACAGGTGAATTCTGGCAGAGCTGCGGTGGCAGGGGGCAACGTGCAGGGCCCTTAAGAACCGGAAGTAGCGGGTTGAGGGAACAGCCGCTTCCACACGTGGTGCACTTGGTGGGGGTAGGTGTAGAGACCAAAGCAGGATGCACCCCATGGGGTGCAAGTCTCCCGGGGTGCTCTGCATCGTTCCTTAGCAAGGTTAAAGTACAGCGATTCTACATGATGCTAATGAAGTTTATAGGTTGTCCAGCTGGAAACCTCCATGCAGGGCCCAGGTGTTGGGCTGAGTGAAGACTGAAGTCTCCAGACCTTCCCAGGTTCTCCCTGCTAAGCTGTAGCCCCTGCAACTCTTAACCTTTCATACACCCACCACCCAGGCATGCCCAGTGTCCCCGCCCTCCTCCCCAGCCTGTGTGGTGTGGCTCCTGTGTCTGTCAGCAGCCTTTACTTCTCATCCTCATCCCCCTCGCTCAAGCTGCTGATGGAGGCTGAGGCAGCTTTGGGCGAGGAGGGGGGTGAGGTTTTGACCGGGAGCCAGGAGAAGGTGGGCGACGGGGAGCGGGAAGGGGACCGGCTCCTGGTGGGGCTGCTCACGGGGCTCTGCTTCGGGGACAGGGCCTGAAGCATCCGGCTACTCCTCTCCTGGAACATCTGCTTCTGCAGAGAAATTAGAGAGAAAGCATCTGTTAGTTACCTGAGATCACAGTGAAACATCAAGGAAAGGCAGGAAGGAGAGCCCCCCAAACGTCTGCGCCCCCACATGGACTTGTACTCCAGACCATGTTGGCCAAGACTCTCTAGGGAGGAGCTGCATGAAACTCAGGGCCACGGAGCTGCTGACACATAAGGGCACCACCACTGCTGGTGCCTGGCACTGTCTCCTGCGTGCCCTCTTCTCCTCCATCTACAAAATCTGAGTGGCTGTTATTTGCCAGGCGAACAGTAATGTCCTGGATCCCGGAAGGGTAGCAGGAAAGAAAACCCAAAATCCCTGACCTCGTGGTTATTGTATAAGGAGGCATCACACACACAAAATCAACATAAGATGAAGGATGTCAACGGAACCATTGTCTGAGAAAAAGAAATGGACAGAGGAAGGAAACTAAAAAAAAAAGAGAGGGGCCGAAACCGGTTTGGCTCAGTGGATAGAGCGTCGGCCTGCGGACTGAAAGGTCCCAGGTTCGATTCCGGTCAAGGGCATGTACCTGGGTTGCGGGCACATCCCCAGTGGGAGATGTGCAGGAGGCAGCTGATCGATGTCTCTCTCTCATTGATGTTTCTAACTCTCTATCTCTCTCCCTTCCTCTCTGTAAAAAATCAATAAAATATATTTAAAAAAAAAAAAAAAAAGAGAGGGATGTGAGCATGGAGACAAGTGGGGTGCAGTTGCAAATGGGGTGCTCAGGGGACGCCCCCCCCGAGAAAGTGCTATTTGAACAAAGATCTGAAAGAGATGAGGGAGGAGGCCACATGCAGGGAAATTAGGAGGAAGTACAGTCCAGACAGAGAACCCCAAGAAGGGAGCATAGAGTTCACGTTCAAGAAGGAGCAAGGAGGCCATGGTGGCTGGAGTGGAGTCACGTGGCTGAGGAGGGGCATGGAAAGAAGGGCATGAGGGCGAGGTCACCAGAAAAGTCCCAGCGAAGTGTGTTATGTAGGGTCTTGGTGGCCATGTGAGAATTTCAGCCTTTATGCTGAGGAAAAGAGAAACCTCTGGAGAGTGCCTTTACCTCTGCAGTTCTGAGCAAAAGAGTAACAAACTGCCCAGCCGGCGTGGCTCAGTGGTGGAGCGTCGACCTATGAACCAGGAGGTCACAGTTCAATTCCTGTTCAGGGCACATACCTGGGTTGTGGGCTCGATCCCCGGTGTGGGGCATGCAGGAGGCAGCCGATCAATGATTCTCCCCCATCATTGATGTTTCTCTCTCCCTTTCCATCTCCCTTCCTCTCTGAAATCAATAAAAATATATTTGAAAAAATAATAACAAACTGACTTTGGGTTTAAAAAGACCACTCTGCAGTGCTGGGAGCAGACCACAGCAAAGCAAGGGCAGGGGCAGGGAGAAGAGCCGGGAGCCACTGCAAGGAGAATCTGAAACTGCGATGGTGCCTTGGACCAGGGTGATGGCCACGAGCTTGGCTGGAGTCCCGGTATGTTCTTTTTTATTGATTTAGAGATGGAGAGAGAGAGAGACAGAAACATAAATGATGAGAGAGAATCATTGATTGGCTGCTCCTGCACACCCCCTACTGGGGATCGAGCCCACAACCCAGGCATGTGCCCTTGACTGGAATCGAACCTGGGATTCTTCAGTCCGCAGGCCGACGCTCTCTCCACTGAGCCAAACCAGCCAGAGCCCGGTATGTTCTTTTCCCATGGTATTATTAAGGTGTCCTCTACTTGAAGTAACACCTTTTAGCATGCAGTTCTGTGAGTTTCGGTAAATGCCTATAGTTGTGTGATCACCACCACAAACAAATTCTAGGAATGTCCCATCAGCCCTCAGTTCCCTCAGGACCCTTCCTAGTCACTCCCTCCTCAGCCTCTGGCAACAGATCTGGCTTCTGTTCTGCAGTTTGGAAATATCACTGAAATGGAAGTGTGCAGTATGTGGTCTGGCTACATGTTGAGGGCAGAACCAGCAGGACTCGAGACAGATGGGCTGTGGGGCGTGGGAGGAAGAGGCATCAAGTGACTCCAGTTTCCAGCTTGTGAAACTGGAAAGCCCACGGGGCCCATCCCCGAGGGCGTGCTGGGGCGGCCACACTGTCCCAGGGGCTTCTCACCCACCCACCTCGGGCCTATGAGGAGAGAGCAGTGAGCCAGCGAGGAAGGAAGGAGACCCTGAGAGGGATGGTGGAGGGAGAAGGCTAGTAAAAAAAAAAAAAAAAAAAAAAAAGATGGGTTTTCCAGCCTGGGACCTCAGGTGCCTGCTGCCTGGTGCTTTTGGAACTGACCCCTCCCCTGACACTGACTTTCTGGGGAGCCCCTGTGTGCCAGGCCGCCCCGAGCTGCCCATGGATCTAACCTTCTGCGCTTTGCCTGCAGCACACGCCCCCCAACCCCAACACACATGCCCTTGACCGAAATTGAACCTGGGACCTTTCAGTCTGAGCCAAACTGGCTAGGGCTCCTACTAGGTTATTTTAGACTTTGCTTGTTGTGTGAGTGATTCATTTTTCAAACCACTGCTAAACCTCTGGGACCTGGGGCTGCACAGGAGGTGGTCCTGTCTGAGCTGGGACTTCGGTGATGCACAGGAAGGGGGGTTAGGCATGGAGGGCTCACTGGCCAAGCAGAGGGAGCTAAGTGGAAAGTACTCAATACGATTGCTTGGCGTGGCCAGAAGCCTGAGTGTATGTGCGTGTGTGTGTGCACATGGAGCACCAGGAGGAGGTGGGATTTCCCCCCCAAAAAAAAGCCCCTGGAAGATTTTAGTCAAGGGAGGGGTATGATCAGATTGGTGTTTTAGAAATATCTTTGGGTGTGAGCATAAAAGGAAGGAAAGAAACCATACAGGAAAGGAACTAATGTTTGGCTGTAGTAAAATTTCTGAACCTCCAAAAAGCCACCGCGAAATAGATAAAAAGAAAAAGAAAAAACTGGATTTTTTTTGCACCATTTAACTACAAATTATGAATCTTAGTATAGAAACAAAGCTTAAACATAAAAAAGAAGGTATAAACTTTCACAGAAAAATGAGCATATGGCATATACAGGCAATTCACAGAAGACTTAAAAATGAACCGTAAAAAAGGTTTGGCATCACGAGTAAACAAACAAATGCAAAATGACTGAAGTGAGATTTCTTTTTATATATCAGACTTACAGATTTTTTAAGCCTCCCAACTTAAAACAATTGTTTCCCAGATGTAGTTGACAGATGGCGCTTCGGAAGCTTAAGGCATATAGTTCTGTGTTGTAGCATCTTTTGGGGTTAGCATGCTCTGACTTCTTCCTCATGTTCTTACGTGTAATTCCTACAAGTCTTTCTCTTGTGGTTACCGTGAGGCTTACATAGAATATCTTAACATTATAACACCCTGTTTTGAACTTTATGCTTTCACTTCTCCTCCTCACATTTTAGGTTATTGATGTTATCATTAACATACTTTTATTGTATATACAATAGCAGGTTATTGCATTTCTGGTTATTTTTACCACATTTGTTTTCTTACTTTTAAATTCGAGTTGTAACTGAGTGATGTATCACCACTACCACATTACAGAATCTAAATTTGACTAAATATTTATTGTTACCAGTGAGCTTTATTCTACTTTCTCTTTTTTTGGGGGGGGGGTGTGGAGGGTTGAGGGAGATGGAGGGGAGGATTCAGGGTTGTAATTTAAAATTGTTTACATTTTGTTTTTATCTATGGAGATCTCAAAAACTGTGACTGCCCAACCGGCATGGCTCAGTGGTTGAGTGTCAACCTATGAACCAGTAGATCACGGTTCGATTCCCAGTCAGGATACATGCCTGGATTGTGGGCTCAATCTCTAGTGTGGGGCATGCAGGAGGCATACAATCAATGATTTTCTCTCATCATTGATGTTTCTCTCTCTCCCTCTCCTTTCCTCTCTGAAGTAACAATAAAAAATGTATTTTTGTTAAAAAAAGAGGCAATATCAGGACTTAGACATGGATTCTTAAGTGTCCAATGTCCTTTCTCCCTTCCTATGTTTTAGGATACATACTTCTAGATTTATTTTAAAACAGCCTTGGAGAAATAGGACATCAAAGAAATACAAAGGATTGCAAGAAAATATTATGAACAACTATATGCCCACAAATTGAACAATCTGGACAAAATGAACAAATTTCTGGAAACATAATAGAGAGAGAGAGAGAGAGAGAGAGAGATTACCTAATAGTCACTAGTGACACACCTGAGAAACTCAGGCCAAACAAAACCTAGCCTAGAGACTTGGATGACATTGTAGCCCATCCAACTCATTGATAAAGCCTTAAAGCTTTAACCCTTCCCTCTTCCACTCTCCTCCCCCCCCCGCCCCAATTTATAATGCCCTCTTTTTAAGAGAAGGATGGTGGAATTACTTTGCCTTGGAATTAATGGTATAAAGATGTAATACTGATTTATCTCTATCCCTGGTCACTTCCTACCTAACAGTCTGCATCTCATTACTATTGCAGCAGTTTTGGCTCCCAAGAATAACCCTCTAAGGAGGATGATATGTATACCAGTGAATCTAATACCAGGGCATGCATTCACATTTTTATCAGCATATAACAGTTAATCATCCTTGAGTGTACTGTACTCCCCCCGACCCCATCCTCCCCTCTGGCAACCATTAGCTTGTGTGTTTTTTTTTAATTTTAATTTTTTTAATGATTTCAGAGAGGAAGGAAGGGAGAGGGAGAGAGAGATAGACATATCAATGATGAGAGAGATTCATTGATTGGCTGCTTCCTGCACACCCCTACTGGGGATCGAGCCCACAACCTGGGCAGGTGGCCTGACCGGGAATTGAACCGTGACCTCCTGGTTCATAGGCTGACGCTCAACCACTCAGCCACGCCAGCCAGGCAACTTGTTCTTTATGGGTCGGTTTCTGTTTTATTGCTTTTAGATTCCACAAATAAGTGAGATCATACAGTATTTATCTTTCTCTAACTTATTTCACCCAGCAAATG